TATGTTACTTTGTCCGCTGCCAGACAAGCAGACACTTCAAATCATCAAGTAGAGAGTTCGCAAATGTCAGAATAAAAGACTGACAAACGTTAAACGTCATAATGAAGTGTTAATAGTGTACATTTCCCTTGCGTAGTCCAACTTTCTTCCTACTGTGACCTTTTGTTAGACACAAAAACGTTTGATATTCTATCTCCCTGAAAACGACAGAGTTCCGGTTCCGGCCATGCTTTTTTTACTAGTTCCGGCCGGAACCGGAACTCTAAAAAATCGGGGTTCCGGCCGGAACTAACCGGCCGGAACCGAGTTCCGGTGCACCCCTACCAGACATGTTTCCTCAAACACAGAAAGAGTCTATCATGGATAATAAAATAAATGGATAGGAAACTAGCTGACGTGATCTAATGTTTTCAATGGGTGATGGCGTGGTTGGATGTTGAAACCTAGTTGCAAACCAAATTCTCAAAAACGGCATGTTTAGCAATAATACAGCTAAACATTTTAGTCAAAGGGCAAATAAATATGACTACGCCATTCTATGATGAAATCTCCAAGTATTCTCAGTCAATTTTGGCAAATATTTCAAGCAGTAAACAGTGAAAAATTCATCGCAAATTTCGTTAAAATTGGGGACGCCAATTTCGTAGCTACAAATGTAAAAAAATACAAAACAAAGACGAAAAACATTTACCTTGAATACTTTGTCGTGACTTAGGCATGTTTTTAAAACAATTAGACCAGTTTATGCTTCAATATTACTCTTTTAAAGCGGAAAGTATAGCGAAACAAGAAAAATGCCGAGAACTTTGCAATACGTGTGACGTCACTGATTGCAACTAGGTTGTTTTTGCTTATGTCAGCTAGAGTCCTATCCATTTATTTTATTATCCATGGTTCTGTCAAGCGAGATCCCCCAAATCTCAAGATCTGATCAATGGTCCTTAATCGCATGCCAAGAGATCATAATATTTAACTATAAATTCTCTATTAACCCACTAAGCTGCAGAACTTCCCCTTTGACAAGTAAAATCATCTGGCGTTAGACAAGTAAAAAAATAAGTAGGGCGCACTGCAGCTCAATGGGTTAAATATTAATCTCTTCTAATTTTATTGTATATATCAAATTACTTTAATCTCGTCACCTATAAATATTGTTGTAATATAACCTTCATTCCTGGTAATACGTAGTCGAAACTAGAATATATTAAGAACGGAGTTTACCATTGTTTTCTACATACCTGATCCATTATCAACAACTACAGCCGTACCGTTGTCTGCCATTTTTACAACAAACTTCGAGTGCTAAGCGATTCTAACGTACTGTTCACCTTCCAATAACAAGTTGCTGCAACAAGCTATGGAAGCAAAATGATTCTTCCATACTTAACAGTCAAACCGGATGTTTTTTTGCGAGAAACTTTGCAATGTGCGTCACAACATTGACGTGAAAATTGCTCGGATGTGCAATTACCTTTTCGACGGACACATTTATTTCATGATAGGATTGTAGCTCTAGTGCCACTGAAACTGTTTTCGAATGTTGTTTTTGTTAAATTGTCTTGAGTAAGATATTCAACACAGTTTTCTGTCAGCTTCGAACACATACAAACAACCGCCATGTTGTTGAAAAATATTCGCGCAAAGTGAGCCGCACGGTATTTTGGTCAGCGGAAAATGTGAAACGTCATCTAAGCTAACTAAAACGTGAATTATTCTTTCTTGGCAAAAGTATCAAATTTACAGTAGTTGTAAAATCGAAATGGTCACAAATTAAGATAATTAACGCCATCCAAAAGGCAAAAAAAGGTTTTACCCATAGCCAGGGCGGGGGCCCGGCGACCCTCTCGGGAAAATTTTGGCTCTGAGAAAATCCATTCTATAAAAATAAGTAAAGCCTGGCCCCACCTAGGTTTTTGCACCCCCC